ATGCCAAATGGGTTGGGCGTTGAAATCCAGTCCTAGAAAAGTGCGGTTTACTCAGGAGCAAAAACATTTTCTGGATATTAAATACAACCTTGGTGAACAGACTGGGAAGAAAAGTAGCGGCGAGGATGTGGCCAGGCAGATGAGACGAGCTCGTGGACAGGATGGAAAAAGACTATTCGCAGTTGATGACTTCTTAACCGCGCAACAAACCACTTTATACTTTTCGCGCATGGCCGCCAAGAACAACAATGTCACAGAGGCCGAGGTAGACGCAGAAGAAAGAGAAAACTTGATCCGTGACGTGACAGCCAAAATCACGGAAAGGCTAGTTGCTGAAGAAGAAGAGCAAGCTGTGTCAGAGGTCGAGAGTCGCGGTTGCTGCTACTCGTACAAGAGAGTAAACTTGTGCTGTATGAGTAGAGGTGAGCTTCGGGCCAAACTAACACTGTCGAACCTAAAAAACGTATGCCTTAAGTACGGAATCCAGGGTGTATCGGAAAACCGGAAGAAGGAGCCATATGAGAATGCTTTATTCAGTTTTATAGAGGCGAGGCCATGTAGCTTGCACAAAAGCCTCCCCTAATACTAAGGTTATTAGATTATTACTTGCGGTCCAGTCCCTATTTCGTTTGAACGATTTTCCCTACCGAGAAGGTGCTTATTTGTTTTGTTTGAAAGTAAATCTCGCAATGGCTGTAATTAGTTATGAGGGGTAGCTGTAGTCCATTGGCTTTACTACACTGGATCAAGTTTATATAAGAGAGGATACAATTTATCATCTCTTGGTTTAGCTACAGTAAATTCAGGAGTACTGACAGGTATTAAAATATGTTCAGGTGTTCGTTAACAACAAATCAGTGGCGTGTAGGCTTGAATGAGAACTAGGAAGTTAGTTTTTGTAAGAAATCTTCAACGTTCGAACTATCTGTCAATACAGGCATGCACAAAAAAAGAAAATTCATTCTGTGCGTGCCAAAAATGCAGATTGCACTTGTACCCATTCAACGAATAATAAAATTCATCGTTGGGCCCTGTGACTTTGCACCTAAACATTTCAACCTTGTTCCCAGTTTCACAGGGTATGAGATTGCTCAACGTTTATTTTTTCTTTAATGCTTTTTGATTTTCGTCTTTTTTTTGGTTTGGCTTTCTTGATATAAAACAACCCCATTACAAGACGATATCATTACAATTGCATCCGGTGTTACATCCCATTACATTGTGTTACATCCGGCCAGCAGTCGTGCTTCTGGGACTTCCGGCTTACTCGTTCAGTTTATTCACCATTCTTGGCTTATCGGCCATCGCAAAACCTGGCTCAAGTTTAGCCATTGACGTTGCTTTGGATCGTTCAAAAGTATACATTTGCTTTGTATATTGATCTTGACACATCTACTTCACTTCCTGGTTGGATAATATTGATGAATTTAGGTGGTCGACTGCAGAAATCGGAAGTATTACGACCATGTTTATTCTTTGTCAAGTGTAGGTGGGCTGCTTGTATCATCATCTCTGGTCTGAAACACGGCAACCTAGACATTCGATTAGAGTAACTGTTAGATTAGAGTCTGCGCTAGATTTGGCCAAGAAAATGGAGCGAGCAAAGGAGAGACACTGGAGGAACCACGCGTGATTGCCAATAATGGCCTTTTCTGTGAACAGTTCTCTTTTATCCTGTGAAGCTTTTGCAGCGATTGTCACTTTTGAGCAATTACAGTCTTGGGCTGCATATGAAGTAAATCCAAGTTGGCGAGAAAGTATCCTGAAGAAATTCCAAAAAACCTTCAAGGTAGGTTTTGTATCAATTCATGTTTCATCAAATTCTTTGGCCAAAACCTTATTAACTAAACTAAGGTAACAACAAGATGATAAAAGATACTTTTGACGCTGATTTTCTCTCTCTAAAGCCTGTTTGAACGAAATTCTAAAGCCCTCAAAATTTCCAATTTTGCAATATTTTAAAACTTGCCTCGGATGTCTTTAGCACCCATGGCCAGAATATAATTTTCCCCAAATAGATATTATGATATTTAGAAACTTCAATATCTATGCAAGCTCTACTGCTAATTTGGTTTATGTGAAAAGAGTACTTTCAGAGAAATTACGAATATGGTTGTGCTTGTTTTTCCTGCTTGCCAAAATGGCCGACAGGGGACATAGTAAAACGAGCAATTTCTTCTTGCCTATAAAACCCAAAATTTTTTAACGGCGATTTTTATCAACTGGGAGAGTGGCTCTACCATCTGTATGAATTTCATTTGAATTGGTTGACGTGCACCCGAGAACCAGACTCCTTTATTTTTACTTCTTGAGAGTGAATTTTTTAGTCAAAACATAGACATCTGGCCGACGTGATCAAGTGTGGTTACCATGGCAACGATACATCTGCTGATCCAAATATGGTTGTTTTTGTTTATCCCCCAAGGTAACCTACCTCCACACAAAAATTGAAGAGGGTTTAAAAATTTTCATTTCCAACTTTGCTTCACTTTCCTGGAGAATTGCTCTTAAGTCCTCTCTGGTTCTGAGGCATCTTGTCATGAAACGATAACCCATTAAACAGCCTGGTCCATTTAATTCATAGCGTACCGCTTGAAGTATTTTGTGAGCTGCACTTTCGTTATTTCTCCTTCGAAGATTATATTTAATGTTAATAAGGTATTTCAGTTGTCTTACGGTTATATGAATGCTGTGGTAAAGGGACAAAAACGTGACAGTGCTAGCGTACTTGTAACCAATGAACCAATATGAGCGTATGCAATCTTCCAGCGAAGCAAAATTGCTCACAACCGGACAGGCGGGAAAAGTATTAACGAAAACAAATTGACACAATAGAAATACGAAAACAGTGGGGAAAAGAGAAGTGATTTACCAAAGAGGCCATGTTCTACACTGAGCAGGAGGTTTAACCTTTGTGATTACACGTGTCTGTCTTGGTAACCTGGCTAATCCACTGTTTTGTGTGTTTTTTTTTATTCTCTGTTATTCTGCTATATCATGTTTCCATTTTTGGTTTTGTGTTTGCGTTTTGAGTTTTGCGTTTCTGTTTTGAGTTTTGTGATTCTGTTTTGGGTTTTGTGATTCTGTTTTGAGTTTTGTGATTTTGTTTTGGGTTTTGGGATTTTGTTTCAGGGTTTTGTGATTCTATCTTGACTTTTGTGATCTGTTTTGTTCCTATTGGCCACGGTAGATTACCAGTCGACAAACGGCGCAAAGAAAGATGCGTAAACTAAATGTTGACAGCTGTCAAGCTCTGCGAATTCACTGCTGATGTCCAAATTGACAGCTGCCAGCCGAAAAGTCAAAACAAAGAAAGGTAAAAAAAGTTGACTTTTTTCGACTGTGCTCAAAAAGGCAAAAAGTTGTAAAAACACGAGAAATTTTCCCTTCTTCCTTTTTTGCGATAAGTGAGATAAAAATATTACTCAAGAAAGTTGGTTCACTTCATATTGAAGACAAATCCTAAAATATCTGGCTTTTTATGAGAAAAGGGGGATTGCCCCTAGTTTCTATATGATTTAAGTGTGGGGTTGGAGTTAAAAAAGGGCTTCTTCTGAAATTGTCTTTACAGGTTTCGGAAGCCTTGTGCGGTGATTTCCAATAATGGCCTTTTCTGTGAACAGTTCTCTTTTATCCTGTGAAGCTTTCGCAGTGATTGTCACTTTTGAGCAATTACGGTCTTGGGCTGCATATGAAGTAAATCCAAGTTGGCGAGTAATGCATCAGTCAATTCCAGCTGCACCCAGCCCCCCTGGGCTACTGCGGGGTATTTGCTCGCCCTGTCAGTCCCGGGGGTGGGGCATTTGCAAATTTTGCACTTCCCGGGCGCCAGGCATTTGCCAACCCCTAGCTTTTGACACGCACGCAGTTTCCTATCAGAATATTACTACACAGGGGATTTTACTCGAAAAACAAGCAGATTGGCTCATTTGTCAAGGATGGGAAAAAATTGAAGAAGTTTGTAAAGGCATGGTCTCGATTTTATGCATGCATTTCTTCACTGCTTATCAAGCCAGAATTACAAAGCGAAACTCGGGAGCTATCAACGTGAATAGACGTTTTTTGGGTTATTGAATCAAGTTTCTCATGATATTATTAGAAGAACATCCTTTCATATTTATAAAACTATCCATAGCAGTTAACTTTACATTGCACTATTAATTTTCAAAAATATCAATAATTTTATAACAATACCAAAACCATAAACTGGTGTCATCACGACGTGAGGTCTCACATTAGCTTGGGCGCAGCTGGAATTGACAGATGCATAATAATACGTAGTTAGAGTAACGTAGTAATTTACCATTGTATTTTTAGTTATGGAAAGCCATAACAAAGACCACATGGATCCCCATCTGAATATGAAGAGGAGTCGGTATACAGAAAAGGAAAGTGAAAGGTATGCCGTTGATTGAATGTAATGTTGTTTTTTTTTCTTCATCAAGGTACTTAAAGACTGTTCTGCTAACAATAATTTGTATTTACTTTCAAGTTCTTTTGTTGCCCCTCCGATTGCTATCAGTGTATTAGCAAATTGTGAACAAAATCTCCAGCAGTTTTATTGCTCTATTTTGCCTACCATTGAGTGATTAATAAATAAATACATAAAAAATAAAAGATAAGGGTAGTAAACTACAATCTTTCCTGAGGTTAGTTTGCCTAATACCCAACATTAAATATATTCCAACCACTGGGTTTGATTTGATTTGACATGGGAGAGAAATCGGAGGAACACGCAGCGCTTCTCTCTGCCACCTCCAAACACTAGGCAAAAACAGGACAGAGCCGGAGAAATAGATCGAATAACAGATGTTATCTTTTAACCCCAGAGATGATGTAGATGGTGCTGGAAAGGACACTGAGAGAGAGAAATTAACTTCACAAATATTGATGTAAATATATTTGTAGTTACCTGCTTAAAAGATGTGTCACGAGCCACTTTGCAACCAACTGCTACGGTAAATTGCCTATAGCTGAATGAAGGTTCCAAAGCTTGGGATAAGTGATAAGTGCATCACGTTCTATTTCCGCATATCAAAAAAACGCACGAAAACACGCAAATGGCTCATCACCAGCGAAGTAAAAATAATGAGATACGTCTGGAAACCTCTTCCTTAGAAAGAACCTAACTCGAACACTATTTGTATTCACCAGGATGTCTTTTTATTAGTTTTTGATAGTCAGTTGATTAAAAATTAATAATAATAAAATTAAATTTGTTTTCATTGCTTTTGTTGTTTATGGAATGCACTAGGTTGACATAATATTCTCATCTACGTTACTCTATCTTTAGATCTCAGACATCGAATGATGGCTTCAAAACCATGTATCAGAAGGAAGCGACAAAGACAGCATTGTCACTAAGGAAGGAAAAGTTTCGCTTGTAAAACACACGTAAAGGTGGGTGCTATCTTGTTTGGAGTACAAGAATGTGTGTCCCGTTAACAAAAAGGGCCGGCTAGTGGGATACAAGGGGCTCCTTTTTTTGAGTGCTCCTGTGAAAATGCACAGACAGGCAATAAAAAAAAGTCGGTATCAGTTACACCTCTTGCAGTCAAAGCACCTGAGACTTTCAATAAAGAGGTCACCACGGTGTGGTAGTCTAACCAATTAGCCCCTCAAACAAGCATTCAGCACAAAGCTGTCCAAGAGTGGATGTGTAAATACTTAATGCGAAAGAGAATGACATCACCACAAAGCAAAACCTGTGGATTCATTACAAAGAAAGCAATCAACTGGATGAGGATCCAAAAAGATCATTTTTTTTCACATGTAGGTAACATAATAAGGCACCCTCCTTTTGCAAAAGTATGGGGACTGGCAATAGTTGCGCATGTGCAATGTCCATTTAGTGTTGTCTTATCTTCAGTTTCACGGTTCCCACTGTTAGCGGTTTAAGACACGTGAGAAATAGTAACAAATAACATAATTGTGACCTCTCACGCGATAACGTTCCGAACGCTAGCTGGTCGAACGCTGAACGGAACGGCAAGCGAACGGGCGACGAACGGTTAGGCAAGCCGTTCGAAACGGATACCGTAAATGGATGAACGGCTAATTAAGATTTTCGAACGGATGAGGTCGAACGGATAAACGGCTCCTTGAATTTTTCGAGCGGATGAGGTCGATCGGATAAACGGCTAATTGAAATTTTCGAACGGATGAGGTCGAACGGATAAATGGCTTCTTGAATTTTTCGAACGGATGAGGTCGATCGGTAAACGGCTTCTTGAATTTTTCGAACGGATGAGGTCGATCGGTAAACGGCTAATTGAAATTTTCGAACGGATGAGGTCGAACGGATAAACGGCTTCTTGAATTTTTCGAACGGATGAGGTCGAACGGATAAACGGCTAATTGAAATTTTCGAACGGATAAGGTCGAAAGGATGAATGGCAAATCAAAATTTCCGAACGGATAAGGTCGAAAGGATGACATAATAACAAGTCATGTAGTAACAGTTAACGCAAAGCCCACCAAATCGCTCAAATTCGCCATTTAGAGACGCAGAAACAACAATACACAACAAACGAGGTAGATTTACGTTGATTGTGAACTTTAACATAGACTTTACTCGATATATAAGTTTACGATTTAAGATTCTTCAATATTCCTCTACATTTCTTTATATTTCGAACATACAAACGGACACACCGCTTCTGTGGGCGCCTTGTGTTTACATTATTATCAATCGAATGACTTTCGTACCAAATAATTTAATGGTTCACTTGTGATGAGGAATAAACCTCGAAATCTCAAATAAACTAGTACTGCATTGAAAATCAGTCTTTTTAGAGTGAAGGGAATTTCTTTGCTGAGAATAACATCCCTGATCAAGCGTCTGCCGCGCTCATTTCCTTAATTAAACATAATGTCACGCAAACATTTCGACAATGATTTAAAGCAATGATTTTAATACATTTCGCTGCCAGAATGCTTCCGCTGAGTAGGCGATGCTTCTTCTTGTCTTATCTTTCCTCTTCCATATCTCAGTGCGAACGAAATAATGAATAAACAAACGAGCGCGTGCCAATTTGTCGGCTGCGTTGATTTGCATAATTTTGACATGGCAAGAACAAGTCATAACTTCAATTCTACAACCCGTATTGACACAATCTGTGAAAAGATCACTTGAAACGAGTCGAAACTTGACCGTTTATAATAAAATATTTTTATTATTGAATTCCACCTATTAAGATAAGGTACAACCGAGCAACTTGTACGCAAAAAGCATGCAATTCAATAGTGTCAAGTTCTATTCATGTGTAACAGCGGACGAAAGAAAACGTGTTGCTTTGGAAACAGCTTGATAAATCCAATAAAAATGCGTTGCCTTGGTTACTGCTAACAACTGCTGTCACTTCGTAGCCATTTCACACAATCACAAAATGGAGAATTCAACGAGGGAAGATATGGATTGCGATCACACCGAAAATATTTCAAGTATCGTCCACAAAGTGCAAAAGTTTTTACAAGTTGGGTGCGGATGTCATCAAGGGTTGAAAGGTGGCCAGTGTTCGGATTACTTCACAGTGGAAACAGTTATTGGCAACCTATACGACTGCCTGGAACTGTCTCATGCGGAACTGGACTTAGTAATCTTGGCAAACCTTCAAGCTTTCACGGCGGCTGAAGTAACCGGGGGGAAAAGAAAAAGAATTCCAGCTTACAGCTTTCTCTATCAGTCTCATCCCATTTGCAAAGAAATGTTTCTGCACATGTACGGCATCAGTAAGTCTCGGTTTCAAAGGCTCTTGGAACATTATCAAAACCATGGAATTTCTATGCGGGTACACGGGAACAGCAAGAGGCTTCCACATAACACTGCCACAGGCCATTGCAGAAGATGTAAAAAACTTCCTACGCAATTACGCTGAAGAGAATGCTGTACTACTTCCTGGGAGAATCCCTGGTTTTAAAAACGAGGACATTGTGCTACTTTCGTCGAGTGAGACCAAAATGCATGTCTGGAACTGCTTTAAAAGTGCTTGTGAGGTGGCCAGTAAGAGGGTCGTGAGTTACACGAAATTTATCGAGTTATGGAAACAATTCCATCCAAACCTCGTCGTGGCGAAGCCGATGACTGACTTGTGTTTCACCTGCCAACAGAACACTTCTAAGCTTCTTCGAGCAGCCAATCTTTTAGAGTCAGAAAAGTCAGAATGTGTTTGCACCCAACAGTACCACTTAAATTCAGTGCAGACTGAGAGAAAGCTTTACAACAAGGCTTGCGATAATGCTAAACGCAGTTTTAAAGCATTAGAGGACAGCGTAGACATTGATGAGCGCCATGACCCATGCTCACTTGACACCACAATGCACTACTCATTCGACTTTGCCCAACAAGTTCATTATCCGAGTAATCCAATGCAACCGGGGCCAATATACTTTAAAACACTGCGTAAATGTGCCATCTTTGGAATTATGTGCGAGGCGATCCCACAGCAGGTTAACTACCTCATTGATGAGGCCAGCGATGTAGGCAAGGGAGCAAACACTACGATAAGTTACGTGCATCATTTCTTCGAGTATCACGGACTTGGAGAAACTTCCGTTCATCTTCACGCCGATAACTGTTTAGATTTTAATATTTAGATTTTTAAACACCATTTGGGCTTTTGATATAACACTGACTGATAACGGCTCCCACGCAGCCATGATCGGAATCGAACTAGCTAAGAAACGCAGCAAAATAGACCAGATACTGACCAGGACAAAGATATAGACAATGATATCAAGGCAAAACAATATATATTTTGAACTACTACATAAATATTTTGACTCACTTGCAGTAAATTTAGTTTTTCACTTCACATACACATTCGGCACTGTTGTTTAAAAATTAATTCCACAAACAGTACGTCTGCGCCGCCTGTGAAAACACAAGCTAAACGACGCGCATGGTGAAACGCAGAGCCGGCCCAAAGGGAATAAAGTGTCACATTTATCTTGCGAGCAATGTTTATCTTGAAATTAATCTCTCTCGCAAGGCAGAAGTGCGTGGCTTCTTAAGCCGCCACGAACACGTAAGGACCGTAAGGTTTTCAGTTTAATAGGAGCTTGTGAATAAAGCGTTTTTCCGTAAAAAATGACGTGAGTATAATTTAAGCGGAGGTAAACAAAGAACAGAAGCGTGACGACTGTTTGCGTAATGTAAACATGACGGCATGCGTCATTTAACAAAGAATGGCGAATTTATTGTTTTGAAATCGTCTCGTCTTGTCTTCTTGGAGCAGCTGCCAAATAGCTCGAGCCGTTCGAACGGCTGATATATTTTCTCGAACGGATAGCTCTAGCCGTTCAAACGGCTGATAAATTTTCTTGAATGGATAGCTCGAGCCGTTCGAACGGCTGATAAATTTTCTCGAACGGATAGCTCTAGCCATTCAAACGGCTGATGAATTTTCTCGAACGGATAGCTCGAGCCATTCGAACGGCTGATAAATTTTCTCGAACGGATAGCTCTAGCCGTTCAAACGGCTGATGAATTTTCTCGAACGGATAGCTCGAGCCGTTCGAACGGCTGATGAGTTTTGTCGAATGCATAGCTCGAACCGTTCAAACGGATGATGAATTTTTTAGAACGGTTAGCTCGAGGCGTTCGAACGGCATGCCAGTCCGTTCGAACGGCTGATGAACGGCTATCGGTGTAAAAACGGCTAAGCGTTCGGAACGTTTTTGCCTGAGAGGTCACAATTTACCTTAACAAAAGATGAAAAAGATGAAGGCAGATAACAAGGAGGAGCGAGGATAGCGAAAACTCCTGCCAGATAGCCTAAAGCCACCAAAAGCCGAAGAAAGGAAAATGGACTGGGAACTAACATCTGTCTCGCATGGCTCACATGATGACTCGCATGACTCGCTGGCTCGACTCGCATGACTCACTGGCTCGCTGGCTCGCAGTTTGTTGAGACCCGACATATTTGATAGGTTCCATAAGAAACTGTCCACTTTGCTTCCTTTGCATCTCCCTACATCTTCCTCTTCCATCTATTAGTTATATATTATAAGTAATAGACTTTGCATTCCTGGCATGGAGTTTCTACTGCTACTGAGAGTGTGTCTTCGAGGCATCTGATTGGCCCTAGATAGACAATGTTTTTGTTCTATTTCATTTCTGTATCGGCTAAAATAACGTCACTGTTTTGGATTCTGGAATGTACTTTGCAGTCACTTGATTTTGTCTGTACTGGAGAGTGAGTTGTGTACAATGTTCATCAAAATTTTTGTTACTTTCTTGTTGACAGCAGAATGCGTAGTTTTCGATAAAATTTAGACCTGACCTTTTGGAGGAGTGGGGAGAACATAAGAAGAGCAAGTATGTGTTAAATGTTTGGCGAATGTGCTCTCTAGACATTGTCTTAATGAATCCAATCTCGTTACCAGTGTTTAGAATCCTGGAAATGCAGTTGTTAGTGAGTTCTGATGTCATAGTTTGCGTTCAAATCAGGTGAACCAACTCTTAGTTGATTCTTTCCGGTTGCAACTTTGCTCTCATTTGGAGTGAAGTGAAGACGACTTATATTCTCCACAGACCAGTGACAGCGTAGAAATGACATTTGTCTCCTGTGTTAATGTGCACCGAAGTTATAAGCAAAGAAAATGTCTCAAACACCACTAAGTTTTCCTTGAGTTAGATTTTTTCACAACACGTGGATAAAATGGCTCAATTTATCTTCCTGGCTGGCTAAATGTCGGTTATTTTTTTGCTGGCAAAAAGGGAAGAAAGACACATTCCTGGCCGGGGAAATGCCTTTTTGGTAAAAATCCTGTTTGGGAAAATTCCTTAAGGTAAAGATCCTGGCTGGATATTATATTTTAATACCCATTTCTAGCTGGCTTTGGTGAGCGGATATAATTTTGCCACAGATGTTAACAATCAATTTAAAAACAATTAGTGACAGTTAAAATATTACTGGAGGTGATATCCAGTCACTTTTGAATTTTTTCTTGTTAGGTACTCCTGAATCCGTTAGTCATAGGCTCAATAGTAGGGCTCTCCATAAGTGGTTGCTCGGCAACTTTTTAGCAACTTCTCATATTTCAAAGAGCTTTTTTCGTTTCGAGCAACTTTTTGCAGTCTGAGCAATTTCTCTAGTTTTCTAGCAATTCTGAGATACTGGAGCAGCCTTTAGTGCTTAAATTGGCCTTAATTCCATATTTCACAATGTTTAAGCAGACAATTTAGGAATTTCCTGTGAAAAAGGAGCCAGGTCGTCCTCCCTGGGGTAGATCATTGGCGCAAAATGCATGCAGCCAGGCTGCTAGGTCGGCGATTTTTACAACAAAATTCAAAATATCGGCAAATCCCATCTCAAGTGAAACAATTATATTGACTTATACTAGAACCTTCACAAGATTAATTTTGATATTGAAAGGGGCCCATGACTATGAGGCCATGGGCTCCTGATATGAGAGAGATTAAGATTCACCTTTACGCCAAATGGCAAACGTGAATTTGTACCATGTGACCAAGTTTTTCCGTTAATTGTTGTTAACTGTTTATTATTTCAACTAAAAAATAAGTAGTTTTACGCCAGTTTTATACATAACAATTGTCCTCGACTGTTTTTATCTGCTTATTTTCTATTCTGAGAAATTCTCAACTTGAATCTGACGTTTGCCGTTTGGCGTAAACATGAATCTTAATCTCTCTATTCATGTAATGTCTCCACTCATAAATTTTTTGCTTTTAATTGAGAACAAAGTTGCTTAGTGTCACCCCGAAAGCAAAAATGCTTCGAAATTCTACATTTTGTGTTACAATTTGCATATTTTTCGAAGGCATTGTTTTTTGGGGAAACTTTTGAGCAACTTCCATCACAAAAAACAACTTTTGACTTTTTTTAAGCGACTTTTAAGCAACGTTTTGAGAAACCTCAAGCAACTTGAGGAAAGCCCTACTCAGGGCTGTCAACCGCCTATGTCATCAAACATTGAGAATTGATAGGGAAGAGATAATAGATGACGTCGTATCGCACCACAAATGAGGTCATTTGTTCCAAAATTCTGATCAAATATGGCACATAAACAGTTCATATTTATCCACATTATCGCTTAAATTACACTGGCATACAAGCATTTTTGAGGAAACGTTCCACGCTAACAGCAGCTCAGACCACGCAAAATATAGAAATTTTACGGTTGGAAAGTCGAGTCTACAGGAAATACACTGTAGCAACTTTGGTGAATACCCCGCAGTTATCAGACTCTAATCTAGAGATGGGGAGATACAGTCTGAAACCTGGAGTCTCCTGGATTATCTGGGAGAGTTGACAGCACTGCCTACTCAATAGACCTTGTCACGGTTTTCGACACTATCTTGACGAATGGGCAAATATGTGAGAAATGTACGTGTTTGCATGAGAGTCGAATGTCGAGTAATTTCCATAAAACGGCTGTTCTGAACAAAAAATGAATTGTAAAGCTACACAGCAAAGGATTTTACTAACAAATTGTGGGGGCCATTACTGTGCTTAAATTTCCCCCTACGCTTCCTTTAGATTTCCATATATCTGTCTGCAATTTTTGCCCGAAAAATTTTAGTCCATGGGAAGAGAAATTTTAAGAGACAAATTTAAATGACAATTTTAACAGGTAGTTCTGGCGCTTGTAGCTGTATACTCTGCCAGCAGAGTCACTTCGATCTTTCCTAGATAATTCGGGAAAGAGGAAACATCAAAGCGACTCTGCTAACAGGATAGTTATGGTGGCTCTGAGGTTCCACACAGAAAACCCGACACTCTTCTCTTGTTAGCAGCTTTTTTAGCGACTTACCATTTCTATTGTGGGCTCAAGTTATGTGCCATGTGTTGATCGAGGTGGCAGAGTCCAAGAATGAAGTCGATGAGGTAAACATACTATTACTATTTGCTCTTACCTGCTTCTGCTCACTTCTAATTGTATAAAAATATTAAATCGAACACCAACCATACCATTTAACTTCTGTCTTCATACCTGCGAATTTCTCGAAAAAAGAGGGCTGAAAGATAAAGAGGTCCGTGGATTCAGAGATGAGATGGTAAGCTTAGCCTCTACCTCGAAGAATTGTTATTCATTTGTCACAACTCAATTTACAAGGCAAACAGTGATAAACTCCTTCGTTAAGATCTTTTCTCTTGGAAGTTCATCACATGTAAGCTCATTCTATTATCAAAGTCTCTGGAAATGTTGTGATAAGTTAAAAAATTGGTATGTCTACCAGCTGGCCTTTATTTATAATTAATAAATAAATATTAACTGATAAGATTTGATTCTGAGAACAAGTATAAAATGGATAAAATTATTTGGTATAAAAACAACTGCAAAATGTCTACTGACTTGAGTACAGTACTTAATGGCACAACCTATGAAAAAACGATTGCCTTTTATTTTGTCTAGACTGATTTTTCCCGCAGTAACCACTGCCACTGATGACTAGTTGAAGAAAGTAGGAGTCTTAAGAAGAGATCTACTTTCCTTGCAAGGATTTGTGAAGCAAAAATTAAAAGGAGAAAACAGAGATAAAAAGAAAAGAAAGTTACTGGATCTTCTTAAAGGGAAAGGAAAACCCACGAAAAGAAAGACTGAAGATAAAACTGGTACTGGATTAGGCTGACTGGATCTGCAGCTACATGAAGCAACAAGGGTAAGAAACAAGCCAACGCATGATCCATTTGGAATGGCTACATTTCGATCCTTCACAGAGAAGGTATGTGTCTGTTCCTCTCTTAAAAGGTGGTGGCACCAGAACCATAAGTGTAGAAGATGACTCAAATGTACAAGATTTGGTTAAGATTGGGAAATCCATCTTCTTCCCTAATGGTGAGAACCTTTTTGGTAACATCGCAGAAATGAGAAATTCAGTTCGAAATTTCAAGTGTCAAGAAATAGCAAAGAACTGGACTTTGTCTAAATACATTGCTGAAAATGCTTTGACCAGAGTGAGACTTTACCTGATGACTAAATCTGACAAAAAGCAATGTGAAAGTTTGGAGTCTAATCATGAGCTCCCTCTAGTTTTCGAAGTGGATAGGATGGTTAACCAATTTGACACTAGGGGAGGTGATGCAGGTGTTGATATAAGTCAGAGTAAACTGATTAGCACCTCTTCTGACCGCGAGAATATAAGGGGCCAACAAGAGAACGAGTATGAAGAGTCCCTTGCTATTGACCAAAGTCAAGAACAAGAAAGGTTGAAACAAGAGGAGACCTTGAGAAAGCAGCTGTATCTGCAAGAAGCTAGGAAAGCACGAGTGCCCATTGAACCCAGCATGAATGAACTGTGTGCTGTTTTCTTGGTTCGCTATGTTGTCCTTGGTATAGAGAAAAGGAAGTTAAAAACTACAGAAAAAATAAGTGCTGTTTATTTATGGTGGGATATGGAAAGACGATTATGGGATAGACGAACAAGGAAGCATGTGAGTCGAGGAGTTTACAATGGCAAGACCTTATTCAGTTGTTATAATCCGGTTCAATCCGTTGCTTGAATGGGTATATTTGGACTCTACAATTGGTGACGAGGATAGACAACGAAATTTTCAGCCATACGCAGAGAAAATAGGGCTATGTGGCATTAGGCATTATTAGTAGTGTTACTTTATTGTATTGACTAGTGAGTCGCGTGCACCTGGGCAAGCAGACTCTGTCTTTACCCAGACTTCTTTGCTCTGTTGACGTTGTTGTTGTTGTTACTTTTCCACCATTTTGTTCAGATCGTGTTGTGTTGTTTCTAATGACCTTGTTGACTGGCGTGGTGGCAGCAGTTAAAACGAACTCATTACTGAAGCAGTTTCCCCCTTCACAAACTTGTCAAAAAACATCGAATGGAAACCAACAGTCAGCGATAGCATCCGCTCGATAAACACAGACCAACCCAATGGCAGCCACTGCATGTGCACCAAAAGAATGGTGCCTTACCAAGACAGAGACTGTAACTTACTTTGAGAATTGGCATCAAAACCTCATGTATACCCTTTCCTTAGATGCTCAGTTCGTTCCTTTTTCCTTAGACGGAGCTAGGTGGTTAAAGAGGACCAAAAACAGCCCCCTTCGAAGCTACCCAATTACTGTCCAGTTATTTCCAGAATCACCATCCTCAAGAACTCAACTACTATGGGCTCCATTTGGTCAGCCATAAGCCTGCATTTCAGGTTCAAGGCCACAAGAGCACATTTCCCTGATTTTTCAGAAATCCACCTCAAGCATGGCCAACGACCTGAGGATCTTTACGAAAGACTTTGTGGCTTTAACAGAGGATAACCTCCTTCACAGCAACAACATACAACACCATGGAGCGCTCCTCACTGAAGATGAAGAATTGACTACCACTTTGGAGAATGTTATTGTACTCACTTGGTTACGGCTTGTGCATCCTGACCTCCCAAAACTAGTGAAATAACGTTACGGGACTGAACTCACTCTCGCACACTTTCCTCCATAAAGCCTGAGATCTTGCAAGCTCGCCAATCTTTGCTGGATGAAATCCATGCCAGTAAAGATGCTAAGGGAATGTGCAGTGCTGCCTCCTCCTGTCGCAGGCTGCCAAGCCCACCACTCACTTCTGAACACGCCCTAAATCCTGTCCCCTCTGCAAACAGGCCAGACTTCCACCACTACTTAAGCAAGTACACTTATCTCCCTGACACCGATTGAAAGTTCATCGCAAAAGCTAGGCAGTTCGTGGGCATTCTCGATTGTGATGAGTCGGATCCTGAGGAAAAACCACAGGACTACCAGCCTGTGCCTACTGGAAAGCAACCAACTGCCACTGCATTGAGAATCCAGGTACGCCAGTCTCCCTACCTGGATCCACTGTATCATAACAACCCTGTCCATATTACCATAGACAGTGGGGACACTGGTAACATGATTCATTTCTCCACTGTCCAGTAGATGAAAGTTGAGATTCGTAAGAGTGTCCAGTCCGCCCATCAGGCTGATGGATCATCCCGGCCCCAATAAAGGTCATCAGTGAAACCAAGCCTTCTTTTACTCACGGACAACATGTGTTCCAGTTTGAAGCACTGGTCATGGAAAACTTGGATGATTACCCTTGCGGATGGCTCGTCCTTCACATATGGGTCTTCTGATGATTGTTCTACACAGTACGTTGCACTGTGGTCCTCTGCTCTCCCACAACTTCAACCGCATTATGGCCTGGAGATTATATCGAACTAGAACTCCCACAAGATCTCCCTCCAGACTCACTCCATGCTTTGAAGCCCCACTCCGACATTCCTCAGGTCCACCTAGTAACCACTTCAGAGCTGCAAATTCCAAACTTGTCAGGCGAACCCATTTAGCTTAAACGACATGAGCACTTTTGTCAGTTTAACCCCGTCTTCACCCCTTAGTACTCATGAGCAGCCTCAACACACCGCCAAACTCTCTAAGCAGTCAATAAACCTGTCACCTTCTGTATCTGATACCAGCTTCTCATCAGCTTTTTACGTTGACCCAGACAATCTCTTACAGCCCGATATGAAGTCGTCATTTCGCTCCCTCCTAAGTGACTGACTCTGTTTTTGACCCCACAATCCAAGGTTATGATGGTGCCGCTGGCCCTTTTGAGGCTAAAGTGAACCACCACAACGAAAGGGTCATCTGCCTCAGTACGCGCAGAGCAAACTTGTGGACCTCCAAAACAAGTTTGATGAGTTAGAGAAGCTAGGCGTCTTCAATTGACCAGAAGAAATAAACATCACTGTGCAGTATCTAAACCTATCATTCCTCATCAAAAAGAGTAAGGGTGGTTACCACTCGGTCACCGCCTTTGCTGACTTGAGAAGATACAGCAAGCCTCAACCATCGCTCATGCCTGACGCTGATTCCACCCTTCGTCAAATCGCTAAGTGGAGGCATATCATTACTACTGATCTCACAAGTGCCTTTTATCAAATTCCTCCCGCCCCCGAGTCTATGAAATACTGCGGAGGCCTTATCCATCACAGCTGCAACAAAACACTTCAGCTCTTACTTCATTCAGTCGAAAACACCAGCAGCAAACCTTGTGTACAGTCCTTTGAAAACCTATGTTGCGGTGAGTTTTCCTCAAGCCCTCGTGTAGCTATTTTCCTCTCCACTGTCAGTAGATACCAAGCCTCTGTTCATCATGTTCCTGTAGCTGCAATCTTACCTTCTGACTTTGTGAGTAGCAATGCTTCTGAGTGTGACAACCCAATATGCCAAGTTTGCAGCTTTGTTCAATGCACTGAGGATTTTGTGGCTCTCCGCACATCTGTCCAAAGCATACTGTCAGGAACTGCTTAACTTCCTTTCACTAGCTGAGCTGCTTGGCTTGCTCTCCAGACGGAGTCTCAACCTACAGCGCACTCATGCCCATCTTACTCAAGGCACATACCCTTCCAAGAAGTTGACAAACAATAATGATGTAAGACGCTACCCTAATGTCGCCACAATCGCTTGCTAAACTTAATGAACTAGTGCCTACCCGAGGGTGTAACATCATCCCTTGCCAGGTCCTCGACAGTCTCTTGTCTGCTTTACACATCCACTTCAGCCACCCTTTCAGCCACCAACTGAAGATGGTCACCCAACGATATCTCTTTGCCCTCGATATGGACAAAGCCATTGATCATGTCACTACTAGCTACCATCATTGTGGTTCACTCCGCACAGTTCCCACTACTGTGGTAAAGTAGTCTACTAATCCACCACCTGAAGCTGTTGGTATCTCCTTTGGTACTGCCATCACGAAACGAGCCAAAAAGTTTATTCTTGTCTTGCGTGAATGCATCACTTCCTACACAGGATCAACCCTCCTTCCTAACAACCGCCATGACACACTACGCGACGCCCTTATGAGCCTCTGTATTAACATGCGACCTTTGGACATTCCCCTTGCTGTTATACGAACTGACCCTACCCCTTGTTTCATGGCCCTCAACAATGACCCAGTCCTTGACGACCACAGAATTGCTCTTGACATCGGCAGAGTCAAGAATTGAAACAAGAACACTGTTGTGGAAAGAGCTGTCCAAGAACTTGAACTCCTTCGACAGGACCCCATGGTGGGCCAGTCTCCCCGGGTTTTACTCAGTCGGCATTGGCCACCTAGTGTACCTCTATTGTGACCAAAACAAATATCGTGGAAGAGATCACTACCTAGTTACGTCCACCGATGGTACTTGGTGCCAGGTAAGAGAGTTCGTCGGTTCACAGCTGTGGAGCACCACCTATCGTATTAAGAAGGCGAGTGCTACGAAGTACCTATGGATGCTTCACCTTCCCTGTCAAATCACATGCGCAGTGCACGCTTTGACAGCAATGACGAGGATGATACCTCTTTGCTACCGGCCTCACCACCATAGATACCTACAGCTCCTCCCACACCCACACCTCAACTTTACCGGACCACAGAAGATGCCTTACCTCCGCCCACCCCACCACCAGTGCCCGCTGCTGTCTCTACTCCTTTTTCTCATTCCAATACAGATACTAACCGTACATCCTTACCATCTCCCTGCAACCAGCCAGACCAGGACGTCGTGCCAAAATGACCCACAGCCACTCACTGCACTCCGCAATACCTAGAGGACTTTGTATTGTATTAGTCTCTCTCTCAAGACCCTGTCATTACGAGAGATGAAGAAAAGAGACAGGAAAAGCCACAATTGCGCCATTAGGCATTATTAGTTGTGTTACTTTATTGTATTGACTAGTGAGCCGCGCACACCTAGGGAAGCAGACTGTCTTTAGCCAGACTCCTTTGCTCTTTAGATGTTGTTCTTGTCGTTACTTTTCTGCCATTTTGTTTGGATCGTGTTCTAATGTTTCTAATTAACTTGTTGACTAGCGTGGTGGCGGCAGTTAAAATGAACTCATTAGTGAAGCAGTTTCCCCCTTCACAAACTTGTCAAAAAACATCGAATGGAAACCAACAGTCAGCGATAGCATCCGCTGGATAATCACAGACCATCCCAATGGCAGCCACTGCATGTGCACTGAAAGAATGGTGCCTTACCAAGACAGAGACCGTAATTTACTTTGAGAATTGGCATCAAAACCTCATGTATACCCTTTCCTTAGATGCTCAGTTCGTTCCTTTTTCCTTAGACGGAGCTAGGTGGTTAAAGAGGACCAAAAACAGCCCACTTCGAAGCTAGCCAATTACTGTCCAGTTATTTCCAGAATCACCATCCTCAAGAACTCAACTACTATGGGCTCCATTTGGTCAGCCATAAGCCTGCATTTCAGGTTCACGGCCACAAGAGCACATTTCCTTGATTTTTCAGAAATCCACCTCAAGCACGGCCAACAACCTGAGGATCTTTACGAAAGACTTTGCAGCTTTTACAGAGGACAACCTCCTTCACAGCAACAGCATACAACACCATGGAGCGCTCCTCACTGAACATGAAGAATTGACTCCCACTTTGGAGAATGTTATTGTAAACCTAAACCCTTGTGATTGCACCTCGGAGACGATGGAAACGTTTTTTTGAGTTTTTTCTCGAGGCCAAGGGAATCACAAAGGATACACAAAAACACGCCTTACTTTTGCATTGCGCTGGACAGGATGTACAGGACATATTTGTTACACTGAGTGACCCTGGACCAGCCTTAGATGAAGAAATGCATTATACGAAAGCTATGAGATTACTGGACCCACATTTTACCACAAGTTAACATTCCACTTGAACGACATCAGTTTTGTCAAGCAAAACAGGAGAATTCTGAGAAAGCAGACCACTTTGTGACCAGATTGTTCCAGCTTTGCAAGAATTACAACTTTGGAATATCCAAGGAAGAACAAACCCGCAATCAGTTTATTGATTAATGTCAGTCACATGATGTTCGCAAGAAACTACTCGCTGATAGAGGCAGACTCGCACTTCAGACGGCTAGAGATATTGTTGGTAGACCTTGGTGTGTGGGTGTCAAGCAATCTTACCTCGGTTAAATAAGTCATTGAACACTGTGTGAAAACCAGCAAACTCCTTGGCTTTGTGCACGAAGCTTCTAGGTACATCCAAAGCACCCAAACGTGTCATACACTCCATCTTTCTGTCATCCGGTGCCATCTGTTACGCAGCCCAAGTATGGACGCCACAGTCCATTGGCTTACTAAAGAGAGTTGAAAACATTCAGTGCCGGGCAACGAAACTAATTTTGAAGCTTCCCTTCTGTTGTGATGTAACGTACAAGACCCGCCTCCAACTAACAAATCTGTTACCTATCTCATACTGGCACAAATGTTTGGATATAGTCTTTTTCTGTAAAGCTGTTAAGAACGTAGTTTTCATAGATAGTGAAGCTCTGCCTGCAACTAGACAATCAACGAGATCTACCAGGCCATCGAGCAGCACTGCTATTACTTGCATCCCTGAGCGAAGTAGAACTGTTACTTGTCAATGCTCATTTTTCATACACATGTGCAGCACATGGAATGCTCTGCCCACTGAGTTATGCGGAAGTCATATCTCTCTAGCCTCATTTAAGGGTTCACTATTTTAATATTAAAATAAAGCTCTGGACCTGTACGACACTGACGACATCAGAACATGGAGAACAATCTGTCCCAGGTGCAACATAGCGAGGACTCTCCTGTGCCTGCCAACGTACTGCTTCTAGCGTTTTGAACTTCTGTCTTGTTACCTCTTAATTTTTCTTTTCAAATATCAATAGCTTTAGTTATTAAGTTTTTTTACGATTTTTTTTATTAACGAGGGATCCACTGTAATTGGTTAAGTTATAGTAGTCTCCCTGTCTAATAATTTTTAGGCAATCATGTATAAAGATTGTATTATAGTTATGCGAAGCTAAATAAGAAAAATTGCTAGGTCCATCGAAGCTGCTCAAAGTCAGGCATGGTCGATTGAAAGCAATTCATGCAGCAGAAATGTGAATTCCGTAGAGCGGGAATATTTTGATTCGCCTAAACGTGGAAGAGGACGTTATCGCTGTGGACTCGAGGGACATTTTGCCAAAATTTGTAAAATGAAAGAAGCCGATACTAATAGACCCAAGAAAGGAAATATACACCAAGTCACTTAAGATGATGATTTTGCCTTCACCTTACAGTCTAGTGGAAGACATATTCCCACCGTAGACATCGAGCTCTGAGGTGTTAGACTGGAAGGGGTTCTTGTCGATTCTGGTTCCACTTGGAATGTTACAGACAGAGCAACATGGGAGACGCTTATGGAGAAGAAAGTGAAATTCGTTGCAAGAAAATCCAACAGAAAGCTGTACTCCTATTGATCCAATGAGCCACTTACTACTGATGGTGAGTTTGAAACTGAACTTTGTTAGAAAGATAAACGTTGCCACGTGTGTTTTATTGCTGCAGAAGAGAAAGCAAGGGCAATACTTAGCAGGGAGACCTCAGAAGAGCTGGCCATACTGAAACTTGAAATTAATGCCATGAAAGAAGAAACCCTGCTTAGAGATTTTCCTGGGTGTTTTAAGGGAGTAGGAACACTTAAGGGCGTCCAAGAAAAGCTCCACATTGATGAATCAGTTAAACCTGTTGCACAGAAGTTGAGACCCCACCTTATGGGCTAAGGGACAAAATGGAACAGAAACTCGAGGAACTAGTGTAGAGTGACATTATTGAACCAGTTGAAGGTCCTATTCCAACACTTTCTGGTCCGAAATCGGGTCAGAATTTGGAGAAGAGGGCGGCACACCCCCACAAAAAATTCCTAGGTGTGCACCCCCGAGGCTATGACATTGTGTCCATAGAGAGGTGGTGTTTTGAGTAGATTTCAATTTTATATACACTGTAATTCACCTAATATGTTACCTTATATCGCCTTAAGTTGCCTTAAATCACCTTTAGTTGCAAAACATTTCGAGCAAATTTTCCTCAAGTCGCCTAAGATTACGGCGACTTAACGTCCCAGAGTAGACCTCACAATAACCTTCACTGTCTGACAGAATAAAGTTCTCATCACTTTCACTTGAACTAATATCATTTCCACTCAAATTGCCACCCAGATTAAGTTCTTCACCACTGGAACTGCGGGAGTTACTCAGCGAAGATATGCAAGTTTCACACATGGCTTCTTCATTCACAAGTGCAGGATTGATCTCCCTTTCATCACTACAATCGCTATCAGCTGCAAAAGTGGACAATTGTTCGTTGTCTGTATCTTGAAATGAAGTAAAGCACACATTTTGTGCGTTTGTACACAAAGATGGATGATCTGCTAAACCACTTTCACTTTCCTTTGAAGATGTAGACGCCTTTCGCACCTAAAACTATTTTACCACAAGCTAAAGTAGTATTATTTGAATCAAAGGGGTTGTCATCATCCGAGGAATCCTCTTCATTTTGATGTTTACGTCACGGAAGAAACACTTGTCGTGACCATGTCAGTCTTTGCCTCAGCTTTGGCCATCTAGTTCTTCTGTGACATCTCCTGTTGCAATTATCACTTGTGTCGCTACTGATCAATATCTGCTGCTTGATTCCCTTACTAAACTAAAAACTACAACATTCGAATTCTGTTTGTTTAGATGTATCGAATAAATCCTCACTGCTGTCTGAAGCCATCATTTCACCTTTCACGTCATTTTCAGAAAAAAATTAGCAGGCAAAGCGTGAAATTTGTGGTCACTTCATTCGTTGGCATAACCGTTAATTGACAGTTGCATGAAAGGCGGGAAATTGCGTGTTCCTTATTGGCTGATACGCAGTGAGCCCCAGTTATATATACTTTTGTTTTTTGCACATTTGGGGCTTTTTCTTCACCGCCCTCTCATCGTTGTTGATCTTTCACAGAATTAGAAATGACATGTCGAACTTTCATCAGACACAAAGAGGTAAGAAAACTCCATGTACCTTATTTGATCGATGATGCACCAATTAGGCTTTAAAACAGTGTAGCTACAGTCTCAGATAAAAATAGTTTGGAAACCTTAACCAAACGCTGTTTTTTCCGTTCTCGTGCTCCCCTCGTCCCTCTCAGAGTTGTTTATCGTGGTTTGGTCACCAAATATTGTACACCAACATTGAGGGGACAAGGAGACCCCAAAGTGTCCCAACCATTTTGACTGAGACTGTGTTTTTGAGGAATTTTAGGTATGTCACTCCTCGTTGGCTCTAGTGGCGGGAAATCGCTAGGCAGGTATATGCACGTTTCAGAGCCATTTTTTGGGAAAAACATTAGAGATTTCAAGGATAGAAAGAGAGAAGACAATTAAAAGAGGAAAGAAGTCTTTGTTTCTTTAATTACAACTTTCCACGGTATTAAAAAAGCTTTCCACGTAGTCGGTTTAAAGAGCGAACAACGGATGAGTCAAAACTGCGCGCATTATTTCGCAGGCTGTGTATCTTGCTGCTAATATATTTTACTGGTGGAGACACGATTAGACGGGTCACCATACTATCCAGAACGTTTTCTAAGACCTCTCTGGTATATATAATGGATTAAGAAAGAAAAGGATAAGGTACTTTCACAGTTAATTGAAATAGCCAAGGTTTATACCGCCTTGATATATGTAAGACAAGTTATGAAAACTTTGATCATGGTGACACGATTGTTCGCTGAAAGAAACTTATAAATATCTTAATTGAATTAATGTACGGTGACCTGTGTACACGTCGAGTATAACACTTTTTTTGAGGTTTTAAGGATAGGTAGTGTCCTCGATTGGTATGATTCATGTTTTGGTATGATTCATGTTTTGTACCTCAAGTCCACATTTATGGCACAGTAGTTTGTTTTAGAGCTATTCAGAAAGGTGTATATTTGGGGTAAAGAATGAGAGCCGATGTCACCATTTGGCGCAAGGCCAAATTAACATATGTTGTACACAACTTATAAAAAGTTGTCGATTTCACAGCAGTAGCCTGGAATATCATTAAGAAACTTTTTGGCGTCGGACCATACAGTTACACTATTGTTGGACACCCTTTCTACGCGCTTGTAGTCAATAGTATCTTTAGAAATTTAGAGAGCGGGATACTGTTCTCGCTGATACATCTTGGGAATAATCCTGGCTTGTTGCATTTTCTTCCAAACTGGACGAAAAGTTTCCCCCTTTCTCTCGAAATCGCTTAACGCTTAATTGCTCTTTCAGCTGTCTTTCGCCTCTTGCCCTTAAATTAGAAATGCGTCACTTTGAGCCTTGTTCCTACACTCTTTCTTGGCAAAGAGGCCTTCTCTATTATTCTCCACACATTTTTTCTAGAAATGTGGCACATTCGAGAGCCTCTCCGTATATGAAAACCCCGAATCTTACATAGATAGTATGCACGTGCTATATTGTCACGCTATCAATCGGCCACTAGAAAGCTATTTGTGTACGGTTTAGTGCACACTCAGTTCCTTTTATTTTCCAATACTCTACTCTGCCCAAAAAATTTCTGCGAACTGGTCATTCTTTTTGTTATGTTATGCCCAAATAACTTAGTTCACTGCTATAGAAGCGTTCGCAAAACACAAGCGATGCCCAACAAACCAAAAGCCTGTCGCTTGTGACCAACCTACAGATTAACCTCCGTATATGTCAACACGCCTTCAAATTCCTCCCTGACACAGTCTCAGACAAAAAATAGTTGGGACACCTTAACCAAACGCTGTTTTTTCCCTTCTCGTGATCCCCTCATCCCTCTCAAAGTTCTTTATCGCGGTTTGGTCACCAAATCTTGTACACCAACATTGAGGGGACAAGGAGACCCCAAAGTGTCCCAACCATTTTGACTGACACTGTAGGAGTTACGTCAAGTACTAAAAACAAGTTTTAAACTAAGCTACCACATGTTCTGACTTTTTTTACATACTCAAAGACGAATAAGCTTATATTTCCTTGGGCATACTTCAACCATACTACTATTTGTTTGACAGAGAGAAAAGGAGAGGATCAAGATTTTTTCCTCCTCTCCTTTCTGGATGACACATTTTCACCTGTTGAAAGGGAAAAAATCTCATGTGCTGACAAAGACTTGAAACTAGGAGCGAAATTAAAAGTAAAAACCTGCCACGGCGCCAAGGTGTACATGGGTCACTTGTTGAATTTTGGTAAGTATCCTAGCTAATCTACTCCATTTTTCTGTGAACTTCAGCAAAGAAACAATATCTAACTTTTCTCTTCATTAGGTATTTGTACTATGAATATCTGGTCGGGTCCTTCTAATAGAGTCTTAGACGAGAATGACTACGAGAACGAGATTTTCTCAAAACTACCTTGCATGAACTAGCGTCATTTTGGCCGGAAACATGATAGCTGTTGTCATACTACTACGTCCTGGTGGCTCTTCCAGTAAAAAATAAACATTGCTAATTTTTATTAATGAATCTACAATAGTTGATATCTTTGTCGCATCTTAGTACAATGGTAACAGACAGCTGCAAAGGTCAAAATGTTGCAACACTGTCTAGTGCATTTGTAACATTTGCTCTGTGTAGCTAGATGTCATAAACACTCCTATTCATGTTTCATTGTACGCACTGTACTGTACTCTATCATCCATGGGCTCAGCTTTCGATGTATGTCTAGTTATAAAAAGGTTATTTTAGGCAAAATTCATCATTCGTTTATCAGCCTTGCTTACTGAACAGTTTACTCGTAAATAGTGTCATTTTTTATGGCTCGCCCACTTGCATCGTCAAAGCATTGCAGATCTCATCTTTCGAAGAACCTCATGTCCCTTTCAAAAGAGGACCTTCGCCTCAGCTTAAAGGCGCTAAATCTTCCCATTACTGGAAGAAGGGCTGTTTAGTCTGCCAGTTAAAAGCCGCAACACATCCTCAGAAAGGTATTACATCTCGGCTATCCAAAACGCAAGTCATAACCAGAGCTAACACCAGGACTCGTTCCACAAGGTGAACCACATCTGCATACCATGAACTGGAACCTGTGACCGTTCAAGCACCTGAGGCTGTTTTATCATTTAAGGACTCCGAGGAAGAGCCGGTGGAGACCTGCTCCAACCTTGATGATCCTTTGGTGGAGGACTTCAAGGAGACAACGCAGAACACAGGGAATTCCTTTACCCCTGCTCAGATCACTACCATCGAAAGCACAGTGCAATCCTTCAGCGATCGCACGCTTCAGAGCTTTTCCATCTCAGTGAATCTCCCTTTTGTGGTGTCACACCTCCTTACTGTGGCACAAGCCTTAGTGAGCCAGAAGAGCAACTCCTCTGGGCTTGCATCGTCCATTAGAGAGGAGTTTCAAAGAAAACATCTTACCGGGTGAGTTCACTGATTTCACTTTGTCACTCCCTGATTCCCTTACTCAACCCCAGGTCCCCGCTTTACAATTGCCGTTGGATGACTCCTCCCCAGGTTCCCTCTCCTCCCCTCCGTCCATGGTGCGGAAAAGAAAACCAGTGATTGATACATTTCACAAATGGCTGGACGCCTATACGACCTACAAGCCGGTAATTGTTGCCGCATATCCCTGGTGTTCCGTTGAACTTCTAAAATACCAGCAGATTATTAGCAGGGTGGAAACCCACTTTCAGGGTTTTAGTCCTACCAGTCCAATTCAGCGTGGTACACTCCGCTGGAGAGATAGGTTGGGCTCTAGTCACGCTTTTGTCACATGGGGAAGTCGAACGTCATACCACTTGTGGAGTGGTGTTCCTTGTAAAGCCAATATGGAGTGTTCTCTTTCTTTGCGTTCGAATTTAATATATTACTGTAAAGGAATTGCATAGTCTTTTTACCTTAACACCCCCTAAAACATCTGCTAATGATTCTTCACAGGTAGGTGGTTTTGGCACTAATTGTTTGTTTTGTTCTGGTTGTATTTCTTTGTCTAATGCATAATCAGGAATATCTTCATCATCTCCTGCTTGAATACCATAATTGGGAAATCCCATTTTTTTACCACGTTTTCTTTGCAATGTTGGTAGTTTCAGATTACTCAACACAACATCATCTAATTTAGTTGTTATTGGTATGAACAGATTCTTGGCTTGTTTTTTTCTCCCAACTGATTTTTCAAGATTGCATCATGCACAAAATTGATTTTATCACCTAATTCTGTTTTTCTATGGACTGTAAGAACTTCATGTTGTCCACGCCGGTAATTGTAATTGTAATCATGTTTTAAACTCGTATGATTGAAGAGAGAATTGGGCTGCAGCACTCAGTTCTATCATCATTTTTCATTACTTTGACAAACACGATGAATGAATGCAATGAATGCAAATTCTCATGGGAGAGCAAATAAAAAGGAGAAAAACGTCACTGACAAAAACTAGTTCCCTAAGAAACAGGTAAGTTATATGGAGACACTTCGTTTAAATCGACAGAGGCGTTGTTTATATAACTGAAAGGCGTTGCCATCAAGTTTTTCCTGAGTGTCTTCTCTGGGTTGTCTTCAACAGTGCTCAGTTTTATCCATGGCATTGTGGAGTCCAAAGAGAAGAGAGAATTGTGCATGCATTTGTTTGATTCCGCAACTGATTACATCAAAATAATATGCCATGTTTAATAAGCCTCTTCAACAAAAATAAAGACGTTAACGTAAACTCAATTACCGGTACACCAGTATTCCAACAGTATTCAGCTTGGAGAAAAAGTTGAGGTTTTTGCTAA